GAGTGGCAGTCTGTGGGATTGGGGCTTGAACTCAGAACCTCTGGATTCCAATGCCCTAACCACTAGGCCTCCCCCTAACAAGAAAACTGAATTGAACTTTGTTGTCTCACACTGGGGAAATTTACCTCTGCATTTGACCCATCTCTTGGGGAGCAGTGGGCTGCCACTATGGGGCGCCCGGATCTTGCTCAGGAACCCAGAGTGCAGGCGGTGGGGACTGAACCAGGTACTTGCAACCTTCTCAGAGCACAAGCGCACTGCTCTAACCACTAGGGTAGAGGTCACGGATTGACAGACCAGGGTCCGGTTCCAGACCCACCTGCTGGCTAATCCGCCCCAACCTGATTTAAAACATTTATAAATTACCACATGTTGTTCGATGACAGATTGTAACTTTATTTGCGCGGCTTCTCCTGTTAATCTGGTAAAGCCCTTCGGAGCATCCAGGACCAGACTACATGTGATACACATTAGCCAATGAGCTGCTGTCAGTCTGGGTTGTTGCTGCTGCTACTTTTAGACACAGCAGGCAAACCTGTGGCAAGCCGGGTGATGGGAAAGAAGGAGAAGATGATAAGAAAAGGAGAGCAGAGAAAGTGTGGACTGCTGGAAGAACTACAGTGTACTGGTGACAGAAAAGTGAAATGACGTGCTCAAAGATGACCCTGCATATTTTGAGTATGTTTGGCTCAACCTGCTGCGGTGAAGCAGGATTCTCCACCATGAACATAATAAAAACTTAAAAATCAACCCAGGCTCAAAATGAGCACCTTGATATGTGCTTTAGAATGGCTTCATCATCATTCAAACCCAGGTTTAAAGCCTTTCAGGGCAGCCTAAAGCCCACTGCTCTCATTCAGCAAGAAAAAAGAAAGTTAAAAAAAAGAAATTGACGGTCAGTTCAGGTGTTTTATAAAATATGTGAATCAGGAAATTGTCTATATATCAAGCTGAATTATTGTTGTTCTCTACTTCAAAAAACGCTTTAGATTTTAAAAATGGAAAAATGTTCCCTCTTATTTTTTTTTATTTAAAAGGTCAGTGTATGACATACAGTAAATGCATAAGCACCTTATTATATTTCAGTTTAAATTATGTTTAAATTAATGGATCATAATTAAAAAATGTCTCCGGACCTTTACTGGTTGTTGATTTTCTTTATTTCGGTTGCCGCTGATTTTTAATTGGTTACCCCTGCAGCAGGACATCACTCCCTAGTGTTGTTTCCTCCTGTAGTAATGCTGAGTCTCTGGGGAAATCAGGGGAGAAATATCAATACCACCAAAATCTTATTTTATTTATTTATTTTATCAACCAGCCTGTTTAATTTGAAGGAGCCTTATTCAATTAATGAGTCTTTATTGTTATATAAACCAGTGAGCTCAGTTATGCTTTCGCTCAAATTATACAACAGAAAATGCAGAAACTCTATCCACTACATCTTTGCAGTGTGGTAAACATTTTTCTTCCCTCCAACACTGCTGGGTAAGGGGCATATTAAGATACTTGCAGCTCTCCCTCTAATTGACAGAGAGACACTGCTGATGATTTGAAAGAAAATAGGAAACAGAAGAATAAAAAACAAGTAAAAAAAGAAATAAATAATAAAGCACATTTTGTCAAGATTGAATCTACTGTATGATAGACACTAAGCTGAAATATTTATCTGTCTCCTTATTTTGTTACTGAATAAAATGCCCCTTTTTTCATGTTCTGCTGACAATGGTCCCAGATAAACTGTTGGTATCCAAGTTCCCCAAATGTCTGAATAGCAGCATATTAATATTTCATAGTTTTAATATTCAGGGCAGGATGTTGTTTTACTCGAAATTGATTAGAAGAGCAAAGAGAGCAGGGAAACGTTTTCATTAGACAAGCTATTCTCTACAACCTGGGAAAAAAATAATGTCAAAAAAAAGTCTGACACCCTTTATTTAATGATGCATGTTTACTGTGAGGATTGTAAACATTGTTTGACATCTTACTACTGGTTGTAGTTCAACCGTATGGTAGTTTTCCTGCCTGCAAGATAAGGTGGGTTACAGCCAGATTATAGAGAAATTAATCACAAATCAGCTTTAGTGTAAAAGCTGCTCTGCTAATAATTTTCATTCAGTAGATCTGAAGTTGATGTCAATATATTACAACAGTGAATTCAGGGAAAACGTGCTAACATTTTATCCAGTTTTAGTTTTATGATGTTTGATTTGGCCTAATTATTTATTTCATTTGGTAATGTTTGGTGTTAACCCTTATATTTTTTTAAGGGTCATTTTGACCCATTTCAGTTTTTGTGTTGATCAAAGTACTGGTTAACCGTTTTTTTCTTCATGAAATTTGGTGACTTTTCCTCATCTGGGCTCATGAACATGTATGTAAAATCTGGCCAATCTGATGTGTAGTGGAGTGTCTGTGCAGAGTATATATACAAATATGATGTTGTGGGTCATTTTGACTCGGACACTTTAATGTGGGTAAATAGCCATTCAGGTAAATAAAAATGGCTCTTTGATGTACTTTACTCTTTTCATTTGCCCCTGAGACCCAGACCCAGGTGTGGTAAGGGAGAGAAATTTCTTACACTGGTTCTTGTCACTGCTCTCACGTCATCTATATGAAAAAACTCACCAAAAACTGAGCTCCTGAAGGATTACAGCTGAGTAGTCTTTTTCACAAATTTTGTACTGGGATAATGATGTAGAGCAAGAGGTTTCTAAGGCAGAGGATATTTCAGAATCAGAAGGCAAAGTTATTGTTGACATACATGATCAATTATCCTACTATGACAAGGATTCAGAGGAAGAGTCTGCTATTATCCCCTGAACAAATGAAAGCCCAGGAATGAGGCAAACATCTTCCGCAAGAGTGACAACATCACCACACCAAAGTTGATGCAGACTATCATCAGCTAATTTGATAAAAACTCCTGGTCCTACCAGATTTGCAATCACAAGAATTGAGGAGATTCAGTCAGCATTTCTCAGAATGCCCATATCATAATATGGGCATTCTGAGGTGCAAAATCCAGCTATGCATGGAATATGCAAGTATATACTGGAAAGCTACCTGGAGGAAAAGCTTAGAAGAATCAGGGGATGTGTGTGATGCTGGATATGAGTGAAGGGCTGCAAGTCATAATATCACTTGTGACAACCTCTATGTCCTACCTCCTTGGAGAAGAACTTCAGAAAAGAAAGCTGACCATGTTGGGAACAGAAGGTTCTTATCATGAATATAATGCAAGCTGATATATCTCTGAACACAAGAAAGGACTTGAGGGCGCAAATGATCCTGGATTATAACTCAACCAGAGGAGGAGTTGACAATCTGGACAAAGTCACAGCAATATACAGCTGTCAGGGCAAGACTGCCCGCTACCCAACCAACATAAAGTGGAGACGGGTGAAGAGAAGAGGAAAAGATCCCAGCTCTGTCCCTCCAGAGAGGACAGTAAAACAAGTACATCTTGTGTGAAATGTATGAATTCCATTGGCAGAAAGCAGTTACATTCTTCCCATCATGTGGAGAACTTTAAAATTGTTGAATGTTTAAAATATTAGTAACTAGCAAATTTTAAAGGTAAATTTTAAAAAACAAAATTTGTGAAGAGGGAACATTTTAAACCTCAATAAAGTGTGTGAATTAAAACTGTATGGTTTGTCACTTGACTAAATGTTTAAGTAATCTAAAATAAATTGGTTATTGGTTTAACCTGTTTTCTTGACTACTTTGGTCAAAATGACCCGCAACATAATGAATGTAATTTTTTATAAGGGTTAATGTATTCTCAATCCTTGATGAAAAACAATTATTTGTTTGGACTAATATTGGATCATTTGATCCTCCACATAGAGCAGCAACCCATTTTTTAACAATTATTTCATTGATTTATGATGAAACTTGGTTGAATCCTCATTTATAAATTAAAAGCGAGCTTAGGCTTTTACATTGTGCAGACGGATAATCATTGGATGTGCAGTGAAGCAGCAGAAAACAAAACCTATGTTAAGAAAGCAAAACGATTTAGGAAAAATTAGTCTGTCTAATCCCAATCAGGAAGTCTTTTTTTTTTTCATTAGTAGCAGATGCTGGCAAAACAGGAATCATGCTGGAGAAAAAAAAATGCAGTCTTTGTAATTTAGATTCCCATTGTCAGTTTTATTGTATAGATTAAATTGTAAATTGTATTTACATACATATTTCATGAATTCATTCATTTCATGATTTAATATATGTTAAAAAAAAACGCTGAATCAACCACCAAAATTGATTTGTATTCATCCTTTCACTGAAAAAAAATTATCTAGAAATTAATAAATATGGTTAGAGTAAGTGTATTTACCCTTGAGTAGGTAAATAAAAAGATCTGCCAATGAAATGAGTATGTTTACTCTTAAATAAAATAATTAGATAATATACACTTGAATTAAGACAATGCAATTTATGTCTTTCTTATTTTGAACTTAAATTGTCTTGTTCCATTGGCAAAGTTACTCCTTTACCTCCTCAATTCAAGAAAAAATGCACTTATTTTAAGAAAAATTGACTTAATTAGATTAACATTTTTTGAAACATGAAACATGATGGATGTACTGAGGACTGACTCAGTTCACCATGTTATTATTAAAAGCCAACGAATTCTCTACAGCATCAAAAACTCATTTTCATGTTTTAAGTTCTAGAAACCTAAACTATTCTTTTTTCTGCTTGATTCTTACAGATTTTAAGCTGTTTAGAAAAACACATCTCAGTGCACAATTTAAAATAGTTTGAAGTGGTTTACATTGAAAAGACATTCTATGCTTGTCAAATTTATTTGTTTAGTCATTGTTGGAGTAATTGAATAATGTATTAAAAAAAGCAAAATTACCAAACAATCCGCACAGCAGCTGCCGAGCTAATGACTTCTAGTAGATACATCGATTTGTTCTGCATGAATATAGTCTCTACTCCAAAATCTTGTTTAAATACTTTACACTCCCAAACAATAACAACTTATATCATGCCACCAGAACAGAATGAGCCAGAATCTTAGAACAAATGAAATTCAATTCCTCTGAGGGATTTCTCTGGAACCACTTATGTTGTCCTCCTGCATCCATGGCTCCAGACATGTCACAGTCATTCTTCCATCTTTCTGAGGCTGGGCTCTGATTGCTGCCCCAGTTCTCCTTACAGACCCAGAACCAGGCCTTCATCAAGCAGTTGTAGCGCAGTCCAATCCAGACATAATCAGTCGAGGCCTTCTTGGCTTTCTCCTGGATCCATCTCTGCTCATCCAGGCTGGTGATGGTGACCAGGTCATGGTAGTGATCTCTGCAGTAGTATAAGGCATCCTCCCAGGTTTTATTTTCTTTGATCAGGATTACTTTATTTGTTACAGAAGGTATGGCTGCAAACAAATAATTTTTCCACCTACATTTCAGTAATTATTTAGAAACAAGAATCAGAAAATAAACATTGGACAAACAGAAATATTTAATTTGAGAAAACTTTTCAATTTGAACCAGCAATTTTCTTCATATCAACATTCAAACTTTGGTGTGAAAATGCCTTTTTAATTAATTCTAAGTTATATTTTAAAACACACAGAATGCACTCATTAAGGGAAATACATGCATACATTAATTAACCCAACATTTCTATTAATGTGGGACCAACTCACCATCTTAACAGATGAAGGTTTTTTCTCTGATCACAGCTGTCATTCTTCCATCTGCCTTCATCATCAATCCCAGCCACAGCACACCGACCAATGTTATATTGAAGATTGTTTAACTGGATATTCCAGTGTCTGAAAGAGAAGCTGCTTCCATCTGACCACCTCCAGGTGACTCTGAAAAGACCAAAATATATGTATGTTCCATATCCCACAGACTTCATCACTTCCTCCAGTTCTCCATTCTGTAGCTGCTTCATTCCACTGATCAGGTCTGTGTGTTTCTCTCTGCAGTAACTCTGAGCTTCCTGCCAGGTCTTCTTCTCTCTAATCAAGTGGTATTTCTGGGTTCTATTAGATTCTATGGAGTAAACAGATAAACTCACATTACATTAACTTTAAATGCTTTCCTGTTAAAAAAAAAGAGAAAATAGAAATAACCGTCTGAAATATACAGTTTGGCAATCCATAAAAACTACAACATTCCTAATTTTTACCATCATAACAGAGGAAAGATGTGACAGAACCACAAGTAAAAGCTACCCATTTAATATTCCGTAACAGAACCCCACACTTCTCACTCATAGTTGGTTCTCCTAGGTTCCATTCTGTCTCTGTTTCATTGAACTCCACTTCAGGCAGAGACCAGTACCATGTTCTGTTAACATCTGTCTGATCATACAGACCAATCCAAGCATCCCTCTTATATCCTGAACCAGATCAGGATATAAGAGGCTATAAGAGAATTTACACCTGCTTCCCCTTTTACCTCACTATATCAGGCGTTCTTTTCTTAATGCTCTGCTGAAAACTGTTGCAGATCCACTGTTGCTATCTTAGTTTCCAAAATGTTTGAACAGCTGCAGAATTCTAGCTTTTTTTTTTCATGTAAATATTCAAAAGAGGAGATAAATATGTTTGACATGTAAACGAATAATAAACCATGAAGAAGAAAGAGAAATGTTAGCTAGATGAACAGACTTCTAAAGCCAGGAAACATAATTTGATTACAGAGAAAACAGTGACAGCCTTTATTCAGAAATATTATTGATGGTGACGATCCAGATATAGACAAGTTTTATTGTCTTAGTGCTGGTTAATGTTTAAACCATAAGGTAGCTATTTGCCTTTAAGAAGAGGTGGGTTACAGCCAGAGTTCAAAGGAAATTCATCACTATGCAACTTTAGTGTAAAAGCTGCTCCGCTGATAATCCATTCAGTAGATTTGAAGTTGATGTCAGTAACTTGTAACAGTGAAGCCGGGGAAAACTATTTCTTATCCAGCTTTAATATAATGTTTGAATTGGTCACATTGTTTATTTATCTTTTAACTTTCAGGGTTAATGCATTCTAATCATATTGTTTTTTTTTCCTCCACCTTATTCTTTGCAAAATCATCCTTTATTGTTTGAAATGAACCTGCGAGATTATACTATAGGTGCTGGTCATTTCATGAAAAAGTGCATTTATTTCATTAACTCCATTCAAAAAAGGGAAACTATATAATTATCTTTTTTTCCTTACACACAGACTGATATATTTGAAATATTTATTCAGAAGTTGGTAAGTTGATCTAAGATAGTAACTGCTATGAAATGTCGGGAGAGCAACAGATTATGGGAAATTAATAATATGAATGAAGCAAGAAGATTAAAGCGTGCGAAATATCTTAGACCCCAGACAGGAAGTTGTTTTGTCTCATTATTGGAAAATGCTGGTGGACCAGAAGACTTGCTGGAAAGGTTCCTGACTGATTTTAGTTTCTTTTTTTTTTAACTTTCATGTTTATTGTAGATATTGCACTATAGAAGCATTCTGTCATGAACTTGGCACTGATGACTGGCTTAATGGTTCATTCCATTCACATGTCTACCTCCGCCCAGTTTCTCATCACAGTTCATCTGTGTCACCTCTATTTAAACTGCTTGAGCAGTTTTACAGAGAGTCTGTTGATTGAAGCTTCACATCTGCCTGTTTGATGCCTCACAATAGGTTTTTTTATTGTAGTTTTGATCTTAATTTTTTTTTTTTTTAACAGAACATTGCATTGTGGACTGAGGTCCAAAGAGAAACACTTAAACTCAGCTTCCTGTGGCACGCCTTTAGGACATGAAGTAGACACACTCTCATTCATGGCGTCTCCCACCTATGAAATATCTGTAATTAGGCCAACATCAAAACCACACTCCAAAGGAACCCAAAAAGGAATCCTGAAAATCAAAAGTCTGATAGATTTTATGAGTGATCAGATGTGATTACTTTATTTTTACAATTCATATTAACTATATCTACAGTAAACCCACTAGTAAACAGCCATAAAATATAATCATAACATGTTTAACATAAAATAAATATGAGCTATATTCCATTGCTATAATCTGGTTAAAAGATTATAATATAAACATAATTCTCAACTGTCAGACATTTTGTTGTACAAGTTTGAAAGTATTAAAGAACAGAAAATAATCAAAGTTAAAAAAAATTTTTTAAAAACAGACAAAATTAAAAATCTCATTATCATTTATTTTCCTCCACTTATGTTCTCCTCGTGTCTCCATGGCTCCAGACATGTCACAGTCATCCACTGGTTCCCCTGAGGCCCAGTTCTTATACCTGACCACCTCATCACTGACCCAGAACCAGAAATCCAGAGTACAGGTGTAGCGCAGTCCCATCCAGACATAATCAGTCGAGGCGTTCTTGGCTTTCTCCTGGATCCATCTCTGCTCATCCAGGCAGGTGATGGTGACCAGGTCATGGTAGTGATCTCTGCAGTAGTATAAGGCATCCTCCCAGTTCATCTTTTCTTTGATCAAGATCACATTATCTGCCAGAGTGGTAGAAATGGGAAAAAAACATTGCTTGAATAATTAATCAGAAAATATGAGTAGAATCTTTAGGTTAAGAGAAGCAAATTATGACCTCTGATATTTCAAAACAATGTTTTTCATGGAGGAAACATATGAATACTGATAATAGATATGTTAACACAAGAATGCATGAAGAATATGTAGACATTATATTCCTACATAGTTCTTGGCTTAAAAGTCATATTTGATAAAAAAAATATATACCTTTATAACAGATGAAGGGTTTTTTCTTATTACAGCTGTCATTCTTCCATCTGCCTTCATCATCAATTCCAGCAACAGCACATTGACCAGTCTTGTATTGCTGATTGTTTAACCGAACATTCCAGTGTCTGAAAGAGAAACTGCTTCCATCTGACCACCTCCAGGTGTCTCTGAACAGACCAAAATATATGTATGTCCCAGCTACCACAGAGTTCATCACTTCCTTCAGTTCTCCATCCTGTAGCTGCTTCATTCCACTGATCAGGTCTGTGTGATTCTCTCTGCAGTAACTCTGAGCTCCCTGCCAGGTCTTCTCCTCTCTGATCAAGTGGTATTTCTGGGTTCTATTAGTTTCTGTGGAGTAAACAGATAAACTCACATCACATTAACTTTGCATGTTTCTTCTTTATAGGAAAATTACTCAATAAAACAAAGAGAATAATTTGACAACCCATAAACAAACTACAGAAAAGTAAATCAACATTCTCACCATCATAACAGAGGAAATGGTATGTATGTTGGCAACCAGTATCTGTCCAGTTAAGGTCCTTATTTAAATATCCACAGTTCTCAGGATTTCCATTTCCTTTATCTGTTGGTTCATTTGTGCCCCAGTTTGTCTCCCTTTCATTGAACTCCACTCCAGGCAGAGACCAGTACCATGTTCTGTTAACATCTGTCTGATCATACAGACCAATCCAAGCCTCCCTCTTATCTCCTGCTCTGGTACTGTTGAGTCTCTTCATGTCTGCCATGTTAGACACTGTGGCCAGGTCAGTGTGTTTCTCTCTGCAGTACTGCTGAGCTTCAGTCCAGTTCATATCCTTATTAATGTAGTGATACTCATAGAGCTGACAGTTGATGAAACAAATCTGTCCTGAAAACATATAAATGTTGTGGTATTTACTTTAAAATAACATCGCCAGCAGTGTTTATGGTAGTACTTAATATAAAATATTTTAGGAAGATTGTTATTCTACTGCTGAGTCTGCCATATTAGAAACCAGTCTCACCAACCAAGTCTGGTTTTGCTTTACATTAACTTACCCATCAGATACAGCAGAATCACAAACCACTGCATCTTTAATGTTGGTTGAAAATATTTTCCTTCAGTCTCTGTTGGACAAAGATCCCATTCAAATTAAGCTTTAAAAATCCGCAGCTCTCCTTCCACTATACAGAGAAGCAATACAGGGAGAAAAAAAGGAACCAAAGCATGGAGGAAACAACTTAAAAAATTTTACCAATAAAAAAGTGCATATGCGAAGTTAGACATAATTATTATGTTTTAATTAGAGTTAAGCCAAACATCAGAGAGTGAGCTGAGCTTACCTCTGCTTCTATTTCTCCTCAGTAAATGGGACGTTCTTTTATTGATGCTCTGCTGAAAACTGCCTCAGATAAACTGTTGGTATCAAAGTTTCCCAAATGTCTGAACAGCAGCTGAATTTAGCCATTTCATTATTCGTATATTCAAAACAGGAGATAAACATGTTTGCCGTGTAAGTGAATCATAAACCATGAAGAGGAAGGTAAAAATGTTAACTAGATGAACAAACCTCCTAACATTTGGTTACAGAGAAAACAGTAACAGCCTTTATTCAGTAAAGCATGTTGACGGTAAGGAACCAGATGTAGTCATGTTTTATTGTCTTTGTTCTTCTAGTTGTTTAAACCTTATGGTAGTTATTTGCCTATAAGATAAGTTGGGTTACAGCCAGAGTTCAGAGGAAATTCATCACTAAGCAGCCTTTGTGTAAAGGGTGCTCTGCTAAACAATCTCCATTCAGTAGATTATGTCAGTATATATCAGTAACTTATAATAGTGTTTCCAGAAATGATCGACTTACCTAATTATTTGTTCACAATATACAATAAAAGCAACAACCAGTTTCTAAAAAATATATATATATTTTATGGATTTATAAAGCATCTCTACTGAAACCATGATAATTTAAAGAGGTTTTTAGCCTTTTACATTAAAGCCTTTTAAATTTTATATAGTCCACAGATGTTTTGTAAGAGCAACAAAGTAAAGAAATAAAAACTATATAAAGGAAGCAATACGAGGTGAGACTAATCAATCTCTGATCTAAACAAGGAAGTTGTTTTCTTCATTACTGGCAGCTGCTGGTAGAGCAGGGGAGATGTAAGAAAGGTTCTAGGATGTAATTCCACAAACTTTTTTGTTGCTAGTGTTCTACCTTTAGTTTTTTTGTATACATTAAATAATCAAAGTGTTTCCACTCCTGATCTATATCCTGACCCATTATTGATACAGCCCAATCAGAATCAGAATCAGAATCAAGTTTATTGCCAAGTAGGTTTGCACTTACAAGGAATTTGACTTGGTGTTGTTGGTGCAGACAAAAAACAAAATAGCAAAATAAGATAGAATATATATAAAATATATATATATATATATATACACAGAAGCTATATACAAACAGTAGACTGTGCGTTAATGTAATGCAGAAATCCTGAATGGGGGAGAGAAACATTGTTCAGTGTCACGGGCGGGTCTTGGCCTTGTTGATAAGGCCGATAGCAGATGGGAACAAACTGTTTTTGTGACGGGAGGTTCTGGTCCTGATGGACCGCAGCCTCCTGCCAGAGGGTAGTGGCTGAAATAGTCTGTGACTGGGGTGCGAGGGATCAGCCACAATCTTCCCTGCACGCCTCAGAGTCCTGGAGGCGTGCAGCTCCTGGAGAGATGGGAGGTTGCAGCCAATCACCTTCTCTGCAGACCGGATGACACGCTGAAGTCTGCTCTTGTCCTTGGCGGTGGCACCAGCGTACCAGATGGTGATGGAGGAAGTGAGGATGGACTCAATGATGGAGGAGTAGAACTGCACCATCATTGTCCTGGGCAGGTTGAATTTCTTCAGCTGCCGCAGGAAGTGCATCCTCTGCTGGGCTTTCTTGGTGAGGGAGTCGATGTTCAGCTCCCACTTTAGGTCCTGGGAGATGATAGATCCCAGGAAGCGGAAAGACTCCACAGTGTCAATGGTGGAGTCACAGAGGGTGATGGGGGTAGCTGGGGCTGCGCTCTTTCTAAAGTCTACAACCAACTCCACTGTTTTTAGAGCGTTGAGCTCCAGGTTGTTCTCCCTGCACCAGGTCACCAGATGGTCAGCCTCCCACCTGTAGGCGGACTCGTCACCATCGGAGATCAGTCCGATGAGAGTGGTGTCGTCTGCGAACTTCAGGAGCTTGACAGACTGATGACTGGAGGTCATCAGTCTGTGTTCCTGTATATTGGAAAAACTGATACATAAATATGAATTTGTATTTCATCTAAAATCACATTAAGAAAGACGGCAATTAGAAGGGTTTTATTGTTGTCAGATGAAGGAGAAAAAATTAAAGGGTTGTCGGTTGAAAACCTGGCCGCGGCTTTCAGTGTCTTGTGTCCTTGGGTAAGACACTTCACCTGCATTGTCTACTGATGGTGGTCAGAGGGCCAGGTGGTGCCAGAGTACAGCAGCCTTGCTTCTATCAGTGAGCCCCAGGGCAGCTGTGGCTACAATGTAGTTTGCCACTATCAGTGTGTCTGTGAATGTGTGAATGACTAAATGTTGGTCTAGTCTCCTGAGTTGTAAAAGCACTATATAAGTACAGGTCGTTTACCATTTACTTCAAATACAGAACACTTTAGGGTTTATGCACAATGCACAGTAGCAGCCATTCAAAATAGCCCTTCCCATTCAAAAGCCAGCCAAATGGCAGCAAAACCCCTCCAACTTCCAGCCACTGGCCTTCTCTTTTTTTTTTTACTGTGACTACACCCTTTCACTGAATTACAGGGTCTGACCAGGAGATGATGCCTCTCGCTAGATCTTAATGTCCAGTCATGACAGAAAGAATATTTTAGATGTTTAAAATGGAATTATAGGGGACCAGCCAAGGACGAGCCAAAGATGAGCCAAGTGCCAAACAAGGAAAGTAGGGAAATTTTGAATGGCTACTACTGTAGATTCATTTAAACATGAGTGCGGACTCAAATCATAATTCTTTCTAACATATTCTTTTCAACAATATCAGAATTCTTGTCAAATAAATGTTCACATATTTTTAAACCTTAAAAGGGAAATAAAATAACTGAAAATATGAATATTTCACACTTACTCCAGTTTCTTTAAACTCTTCTGGAACTACATCACTTAAAACAATAGTAATCTTTAAAGCATTAGCACATTCGATATGGAAAATACATTCAAACTTAACCAATTAAGATACAGTATGTCAAGGGCTAAGTGTTCTGCTTCATTTCACATTTCATAATATTCAATTTCACATGTGGGATTTGTGTTGCTACCATTTACTTTTAATGTTAAAATTATAACCAGTCACCTATATGCCTTGGGTATAGAAAGCATTTAGAACTTATACTTGTTTGGTCACACAATATATATCAGCCATACCTTGTTTCTTCCATACCAACAGGAGCTATTCCATTATCACTACTCTTTTTGCTTCTGATACTAAGTTATATTTGAACAAAATGGTCATACTTCGGAGTATAAAGATTATTCTGTGTATATAGATTAAAATAATATTCACTTAATGAGTAATCCTACCTGCCAACTTAGGCATTGTGCGCTTATGGCTGGTACTTGGTGCTGCTCTACACACCCTCTGGCTCTGATGGGCTACGAGACAAATATTCTCATCTATGTGGCATTGCATCATGCTATTTTTCAAACTATATAACATTAAATTAAGTTTAATGTTATACTTTCTAAGTTTATAATAACATGATCAATGGTTTGCAGCGAATGCAGAAAATGAATATATATATATATATATATATATATATATATATATATATATATATATATATATATTGCTAAACTCATGTTTTTAAAATGTGTTTTGAAGACAAATGTAATCAGTGAGTTCAGTCATGTACCAATGATCTCCATCTGTCACCAGAGGGAGCACTGGTGGAGCAGGTGTCTAAGATTATGCTGTTGGGCTTTAGATTGGGGAAAACCAAAATAACCATATAGTTAGCATTTATATAAATTTTTAAGCTGATGGAGCGGGATGGAACCACAGCAGATGTTATCACAAAGCCACTGCTGGGATGTCTTAAAAAATATAGCTTTGATGACCAGTCTTTTGGCAATTACTTAACAGTCTTTGCATGTGATGCAGCTTCAGTAATGCTGAACAGAAAGGCCATAATGATCCAAGATGGCGGCAGGTCACCCATGTGCTGTGTTGCTCTGAGAAGCATGTGTTGTTTTAAATAAGTTTAATTGTGGATTTTAGACAAACCTTAAACTTTAATTTTAGCTGTTTAGACTAAACCTTTGTAGACTTTATTATTACAGTTAAAACAATTGGAATTCTTTGACTCTTGGCACGGGACAATACTATTGCTAGCCTTCCAGCCGCCTCCCTAGCCTGGGCCTGGTCCTGCACTGCCTGGCTGCTAGCTGCTCCTCCATCCTGGGCCTGCACTGTCTGGCTGCTAGCCGCTCCTCCATCCTGGGCCTGCACTGTCTGGCTGCTAGCCGCTCCTCCATCCTGGGCTTGCACTACCTGGCTACTAGCTGCTCCTCCATCCTGGGCCTGCACTACCTGGCTGCTATCAGCTCCTCCATCCTGGGCCTGCACTACCTGGCTGCTAGCTGCTCCTCCATCCTGGGCCTGCACTGTCTGGCTGCTAGCCGCTCCTCCATCCTGGGCTTGCACTACCTGGCTACTAGCTGCTCCTCCATCCTGGGCCTGCACTACCTGGCTGCTATCAGCTCCTCCATCCTGGGCCTGCACTACCTGGCTGCTAGCTGCTCCTCCATCCTGGGCCTGCACTACCTGCACTGCCTGCACTGCTTGACCACTAACTGCTCCTCCATCCTGGGCCTCTGCTGGGCCTCTGCTCCTGCTGCATCTACAAAGTATTACATCTACAACTCTCTCTCTCTCAGTCCAATTTCTTTACAATGCTCCTGCTAGTTTTGTTATGGTTTTTGTCCCTTCCTGGTACTTTGGAGTACACAGTGAAACATGATGGCATTCAACATGATCCACTAAATATCCTCCTATATTCTTTAACCAGAGAGGCTTTTTTCTATAAGGAAGAATCTCTTCTCATGCCTGAACAAACTTACCTCTTCCAGCTACAAAAACATCAAGACCAATATAATACCAACAGGGTTATTTTAGCGTCCCCTCCCAAAGGTACCAAATCTGCTATCTAGAAGCGCTGGCACAATTTAAAATGTGTCATTCTGCTGCTCCTTTTGTTATCAGGCAATGTGCAACCAAATCCTGGTCCCATTCATAATATCACACCCACACCCTTTAAATGTAGATCAGGATTTGGCCTTATTCACTTCAATGTACGAAGTCTACTGCCTAAATTGGACTTGATAAAACTGTGGTTACTCACAACGGATCCTGACGTTTTGGTTTTAACTGAAACATAACGTTATTGCTTTGGATGGTTACAATGTGTATAGAGCTGATAGAATTGGCAAGGGAGGTGGTGTAGCTATTTACATCAAAACTAAATTGTGCTCTTCTTTATCACTGGCAATAACTAAACAAAAACAACTTGAATTACTAGCAATTAAAGTGAATCTTACTGTAACGCTTCAGTTTACGCTAGTGGGCTGTTATGGACCACCTTCCGCCAAACCAGAAGCACTATCATCCCTCTCAGATGTCTTACATACAGTAGTCACTGTGATACTGAACTTATACTTATGGGTGACCTTAACAGGAACTGGGTTTCTCCAGCCTCAGCTAACATCAAGAATGTATGTGATAAACTTAATCTTACACAATTTATAGATAGCCCGACAAGGTTAAACTCAAAAGATCACAGCAAGTCTTCATTACTGGATGTGATTCTAACCAATAAGCCCCATAAATACACGTCCACAGCGATTTTTTGCAACGATGTCAGTGATCATTGTGCCATTGCTGTTGTGAGAGACGCAAAACTACCTAGAACCAAATCCTGCTATATTTTCAAAAGGCACTTTAAGGAATTCGATACACAAGCTTTTTTCCATGATTTATACAACAGTAGTATTGGTCGGGTTAGTTTAATACAAGATGTGGAGACTGCCTGGCTATACTTCCAGAGCACTTTTTTGGAAATTTGCAATAAACATGCCCCCATAAAGAAATTTAGAATCTCTGGTAGGAATAATCCCTGGGTCATGGATGAGCTCCTGAATATAATCCAAGAAAGAAATTCTGCTTGGGCCAAAGCAAGACTAACAAATTCCTCCTCAGACTGGACCAAATTTAGAGCTCTAAGAAATAAATGCACACTTCAAACTAGGAAAACAAAATCAGAATTTTATTTGAAGTCCATTTCAGAAAACTTTGCCAATCCAACAAAATTCTGGAAGCAGATCAAATCTTTATCAGGTTCACAGACTAAGTTACATCTGCCAGAAAGCATCATAGTAGACTCAGTTGTTATACACGACAAACAGAATATAGCTAAGCAGTTTAATGAACATTTTGTCTCAACTAGCTCTGGTCCTGTTACCTCTCTTTCTGATTCAGTATCTGTAAACTTAGACAGCACTGATTATCCTCTCCCATCAGCAATTCCTCAATCCAAATTTGTCCTACAACCCATTTCTATTGATGCAACTAAGAAAGCACTTATGACCATAGACCATAAAAAGTTCCCTGGGCCTGATGGATAAGACCCTTATCTCCTGAAGTTGGTGGCAGAGTTTATTGCAGAGCCTATTGCTCACATTTTTAATCTAAGTATACAATTAAACTGTACTCCAAAAATTTGGAAAGCTGCTTACGTTTTACCTCTACTAAAAGGAGGGGAGCCAACAGACCTGGATAACTACAGACCAATATCAAACCTGTCAGTACTTGCTAAAATTCTTGAATCTCAAGTCAACTCCCAACTAAAACAGTTCCTTACAGTCAACAACCTCCTGTGTGAAACTCAGTCAGGCTTCAGAGCAGGTCACAGTACCATAACAGCTGCTGTGTCTGTTTTAAATGATATAATAAATGCCTTAGACAATGGATTTGTCTAAGGCATTTGACTCTGTCAACCACCAACTACTTTTAGCCAGACTCTGCAAGCTTGGAATAAGTGACTCTGCCATAGAGTGGTTTAAAAACTCAGACAGAACACAATGTATCTAATTGGACAGACTTAAATCTGACTTTTTGGAAGTGACTAAGGGAGTTCCTCAAGGTTACATTTTGGCAACTGCCCTGTTCACTATTTTTATAAATGACATTGAAAGTAACTTGAAATCTATTAACTTTCACCTCTATGCTGATGACACCATAATATATTCAATTGCCTCTTCAGTTAACAATGCCTTGAATGATCCTCAGTCTGCTTTCCATCAACTTCGTGTCTCCCTAAATCAGCTGAAGTTGGTCCTACTGTAAATGTAAAAAAGACAAAATTTATGACATTCTCTAAAGTTTGCTCCCAAAACTCATAGCATCACGGCATTAAGACCTTAAGTGGAGAAGCAATTGAGATTGTGTCCTGTTATAAGTACCTGGGTATATGGATAGATGACAAATTGTCTTTCACAACACATTTAAATAATATGTTAAAAAAGCTGAAAGCCCTGCTTGGCTTTTACTACAGACAAAAATCCTCATTGATTCCATCAGTGAGGAAAAGACTTGTTCAGACCACCTTCCTTCCTGTTCTGGACTATGGAGACATCATATATATGAATGCTGGACATAGTTTATCACAGTGCTTTACGTTTCATCACCAACTCTGCCTTCAGGACTCATCATTGTGAACTGTATGCTCTGGTTTCATGGCCCTCTCTAAGCCTCAGAAGACAACATCATTGGCTTACTTTTATTTACAAGGCCATCCTGGGTAAACTCCCTCCATACCTGTGTCACCTCATGTCCGTAGCTAACAGTGGTTACAACTCACGCTCTTCAAGTCATGTTCTTTTCACTATTCCCAGGATCAACACAGACCTTGGCAAAACATCATTTTCCCATGCAGCACCATTGTCGTGGCACAATATTTAAAACTTCCTGCAATTACGGACTCTTATTCCGCTACAGCATTTTAAATCACTATCGAAAACCGCTTGCACAGGGAATTGTAACTGTTATTCTAAAGTCTAGTTTATGATTGATTTTATTATGTTGTTTTTATGTGTTTTCATATGTCTTATTGTACTGCTGCCCCTTGGCCAGGTCTCCCTCGAAAAAGAGATTTTATCTCAAGGGACTTCCTGGTAAAATAAAGGTAAAATAAAAATAAAAAATTGCGATGCAGATATTGTTTCTGTGGCACTGGTTAAATCATTGCCTAGGATTTAGAATTGGTGATGTCCTGAAAAAGGTCAGTGGACTAAAACATTTCAGCTAATTTTTACAAGCTCTACAGTCTATATCAAACCTCACCTAAGAACCAGAGAGAGTTATACACAGCCGTTGACCAGCATTCTCTCATCATAGGATGTGTCCCCACTGTTTGCTGCTTTGCTTCAAGAGAGAGAACTATAAGACAGTTATGGGAGAACTACAAAGTGCTCCAGGTACAATTTTCTTCATCAGCCAATGCTGTTAAGAGGGATTCAACAGACTAAAATACAAAGGAATCTATAACGTTCTCAACTCCTTTGTTTTCAGTCTTGTAGTTGTGTATGATGCCCCAACAGAGCTCAGTTTTCTGTCAAGAATCCTTCAGAGGAGAGATATGATAAAGATTACAGTGCTTGAATCAATGGTGTCATCACTAGGGTAGTACACAGAAGCTGTTCATCGAGCTCAGAAAGAAAAGTCTAAAAAATAAAGCTCTTCATGAAAATGAGAGGCTAATGAAGATCAGTGCTGGGCGGTTCTTTTGCAGCCAGGCAGAAAATATTAGAAGTAGAATTACGTCCAACTACTTCTAATTTCTCCTGCCTACTGATTCATCTTTTGTGACATTTACTCCACAAGAAAATAAACTGATCATCTAAAGTATATAGGCCTACATATTTTCTAAACTCAATAGATCATTTAAAGATGAATCCTCTAAAAAGATAGTCCAATAACTTATATAAATGTACAATTCATTAGAAAGAGTAGACAGTTCTAGATGCAATCAATTTATTCAAAAGTAAACAACCTAAAAAGTCAAACATCAAATATGTATCTTTATTCAACACCACATGAAATGAGAACAATTTCGTTTTAATACATGTAATTGTTTTACCCCAACATTTGGACTAAGAAAATATATGATCATTATCATCACACAAACTAATTTTAGGGAAAATTAAAAATGATGACACCAGAGGGCAGATTGAGCTTTAAATCTTAGAACAAAGGAAATTCAGTTCCTCTGAGGGATTTCTCTGGAACCACTTATGTTGTCCTCCTGCATCCATGGCTCCAGACATGTCACAGTCATTCTTCCATCTTTCTGAGGCCGGGCTCGGGTTGCTGCCCCAGTTCCCCTTACAGACCCAGAACCAGGCCTTCATCAAGCAGTTGTAGCGCAGTCCCATCCAGACATAATCAGTCGAGGCCTTCTTGGCTTTCTCCTGGATCCATCTCTGCTCATCCAGGCTGGTGATGGTGACCAGGTCATGGTAGTGATCTCTGCAGTAGTATAAGGCATCCTCCCAGGTTTTATTTTCTTTGATCAGGATCACTTTATCTGATAGAGAAGATATGAGTGCAAACTAAGATTTTTTTCAAATTTATTTCAGTAATTATTTAGAAACAAGAATCAGAAAATAAACATTGGACAAACAGAAACATTTTCAGTTTGAACATAAACAATTTGGGGTGAAAATGTCTTTTTAATTCAATTAAGTCATATTTTAAAACAAACACAATGCACTCATTAAGGGAAATACTTACATTCAATAATTAACCATGCACATTTGTATTCATGTGGGACCAACTCACCATCATAACAGATGAAGGGTTTTTTTCTGATCACAGCTGTCAGTCTTCCATCTGCCTTCATCATCAAACACAGCCATGGCACATAGACCAGTGTTGTATTGCTGATTGACTAACTGGTCATTCCAGTGTCTGAAAGAAAAACTGCTTCCATCTGACCACCTCCAGGAGTCTCTGAACAGACCAAAATATATGTATGTCCCTGCTTCCACAGAGTTCATCATTTCCTCCAGTTCTCCATCCTGTAGCTGCTTCATTCCACTGATCAGGTCTGTGTGTTTCTCTCTGCAGTAACTCTGAGCTCCCTGCCAGGTCTTCTTCTCGCTAATCAAGTGGTATTTCTGGGTTATATTTGTCTCTGTGGAGTAAACAGACAAACTCACATCACATTAACTTTAAATGCTTTCCTGTAAAAAAAAAAAAAAAAAAAATAACTATCTGAAATATACAGTTTGGTAATCCATAAAAAATAAAACATTCCTAATTCTTACCATCATAACAGAGGTAACGTCTTTCAATTCCGCAACCAACATCTAGCCATCCAAGACTCAAATACAGACCCCCACAGTTCTGAGGCCCTGCCAAATCATTTGGTTGTTGTGGGCTCCAGTTTGTCTCCCTTTCATTGAACTCCACTCCAGGCAGAGACCAGTACCATGTTCTGATACCATCTGTCTGATCATACAGACCAATCCAAGCATCCCTCTTATCTCCTGCTCTGATACTGAGGAGTCTTTTCATGTCTGTCATGTTAGACACTGTGGCCAGGTCAGTGTGTTTCTCTCTGCAGTACTGCTGAGCTTCAGTCCAGTTCTTTTCCTCATTAATGTAGAGATACTCATAGAGCTGACAGTTGATGAAACAACTCTGACCTGAAAACATAAAGATATTGCTGTGAAAACTAATAAATGATAAAAACTCTACCACTATTTCACTATAGCTATAAAAACAGAAGAAAAAAAAATCAAGCCGGAAGAACCTCCGAATCAGGCTCATTATTTCCTCCAACAGATTCCAGTGAGTTTAGTTGCTTTCATCAACTTACACATCAGAAAGAGCAGAATCCGACTCCACCACATCATTGTTGCCAGATGAATAATTTTTATCTCAGCTGTGTGTCTAAGATGGAGAAAACAAGAGAATCAAAGAAGACTGTAAAATATTAAGCCAACGTTTCTTTAACCAACTATTAAGGTGATGACCTGATGTAGATGAAATGAAGGAATCGATTAGATTAATTTCAGACAGTGAACTGAAAGATCCTGCTTGGACATATTTTTTCTGAAATATTTCTTAAATGTCTATGGAAAACTGTCCCCTAATGTTGATCTGTTTCATCCTCAGATCCAGGAACTACATTTAAATATTTCAACCAGTAAGAAAATTATAGTCTTATCAATGTTTCTAATGAAAACAGTCTCTGCACATCATGCAGGAGATTAAGACATAATCAAAAAAGAACATCTATTTATCAGGATGATAATTCAATTAAACACTATTCTGAAAACAATAACAAGCCTGAACCTTTAAAACATCATCACCAACTTTTCTCATCTCTGTGAGCTACTAGTATCAGCTCCTTGCAGGGGGAATGTAGGGACACTATTGGTTTTAAGTTTCCTTGGGCTGATGTCATTGGTCCTATGCTATATGCATGCTCTTTTTTTAAGCTTGATGTGAGCACCAGGGTGCATTTTGTTTAACACTTGTGTGGTGTTTTCATTTTTTATTAAAAGAAAAATTATACAATGAATTCATTTTTCAAACTGAGACAAACTGACTTTGGCTCATTTTCTGTGAAGAACATATATCAGAATACATATTTAATGACCACACACCATACATCCCCCCTACACATTTCTATTACATATAAGAGTTCGGGTTCACTGGACCTGGGGCTAATAGAACTGTGGAAATTGATTTACTGTGTAGCCCCCCCAACACCCCCAACCCCCACCCACCAACCCACACACTCACACACACACACAAGCCGCACACACAAGCAGGCCTAGACAGGAGACGGACAGAGTGTAGGTACACTGAACATCATAGGGTCAAATGTGCAAGAAAATGAGAGCAGTGTTGACAAAAATGTTTAAACCTTGTGTGGGAACCGCAGGTGCAGAAACACAGACAAAAAAACACTGTCTGCTCTATTTTTCTCAAATGTTTGACCCTCTGTCTATCTGCTAAAAAATGGAGGCGGGATTCTTATCACAACCGATCAAGATGGCCAAAAGGTACTCAGCGCAGAGGGCCCTGGAATTAATTTTGGAAGAGAGAGACGTTTTTGATGATGTAGAGGGAGAGGATTCAGAAAAAGAGGTTTCAGTATTTGAGGATCATATTTCTGAAAATTCAGAGTCTGACAGTGACTCTGAACAAGATGATGAGATTTAACATAAGCCAGTTCCAAAACAAAGACAAAAAATTCGGAAATTGAGAAAAGAGCAAGATAGAAAAGAGCCATCCCGCAAGGCTGCCAATGTGATAAGGATGCAACCAGAGTCAACATGGATGGCAGTTACTCACATGCAGGACATCAAGTCTTCTTTTGAGCTTTTCGTCACAGATTCCATCCAGGAATTCTTGGCTGCACTAATTTAGAAGGAAGATGTGTTTTTGGAGAGAGGTGAAAGGAAATGGACCAAACTCAATAAGATGCTTACTTCGGAGTTCTCATCCTTGCTGGAGTTTTCAGGTCCAAAGCGGAATCCATAGAATCCGTGTGGGATCAGAAACTGCCAGAGAAATTTTCCGTAAAATAATGTTGCTGGAAAACTTTCACATCATTTCCAGGATTATCCGCTTTGACAACGAGATCACAGACCAGCTCGACGGCAGAGAGACAAATTAGCTGCCATCAGGACAGTGTGGGACAAGTGGGTGCACCACCTCCCCCCGCTCTACATCAACAAATGTCACCATTGATGAACAGCTGATGCCAATTGCTTGGAACTTACAAGTCTACACAGGGAAACCTGATGGAGGAGCCCCTCAGAAAAACCGGTCAGAGCTCCCGCCTCAACTGCTGACTTCAAAGAACAGGCCTGTCAAGTCTTCCAAGTTTGCATACATGGCTGACACATCCCTGGAATCCTATGTGCCAAAGAAAGGCAAGAATGTGTTACTCATAAGTACACTGCATGGGGGTGGAAGAATCTGTGACCAGGAACATCACAAACCAGAGATCATCACGGATTATAATGCCACAAAAGGAAGAGCAGACAACATGGACAAGCTGGTGACGGCCTACAGCTGCAAGCAGAGGACTCCACGCTCTATTCTTTGACATGTTGGACATCTCAGCGTACAATGCCTTTGATGGCACTGACCCCAGAGTGGAAACGAGTGAAGCTCCAGAAAAGACGGCTATTTCTTGAGGATCTGGGAAAGGCATTGGTGAGACCACAAATTGAGAGAAGAAAACAAATCCCCTAGCCTCTGCAGCAATGGTAGGATGATTCAGGAGGAGAATGCTCATGCCCTGTCTACCCAACTGACAGAACCACAATCTGCAAAGCCTGAAATAATGGTGTGATGTGGTTGCAGTACATGTCTGGCACTCGTGTCTTGTGTGTGTGTGTGTGAGAGAGAGAGAGGTGTTAGTAAAATTCCTGATCATTTCATTATTCTAGGTTGTGAACACCAGCAACGAGAAGAAGTGGTGCAAAGTGTGAGGACCCAAGATGGACGGAAAACACAATATACATGCATCAAGTGCAAAAAGTATATCTGCAACACACACAGTAAAGCTCTGCCCCCCATGCGTTGTATAGACTAGTGGCTAAAGTTAATGTGTTCAATGGGGCCAATGTGTCTTATATGTTTACTCTGTGTTCATGTGTTCAGCTTGTGTTGTGCACCTGAATAGGTTAAATTTCAAGTTCAAAGAAATAAAAGTCAGTAGTTTTGAAAAACCATGCTTTCCTTGTAAATTAGTTTCCGCTCACATCTTGATTTTAATTTATTTTCTTTATTAAGTTTTAGATAATAGGTTATAAATTTGACCTAACAAAGGTAAAGGGCAAATATTAACCATATATATTGTTTATACTGCTTGTAATTGTAATTGGAGTAAGGTAAACATCTGTTCAATAATTTAACATAAGATTGTTTTATTGTGAGGTATTAAAAGCCACAAAATGCAATAGGTCCATCAGACCCACAAACGCTGACTGAGTAAAAACAATATGAACATTACACAAGGGTTAACGAGAAAAGCAGCATTTCTTGCTACATTTATAAAAATTTTATAAGCATTAAACAAACTACATGCTGTTTATCAATGTTTGAAGCATCACGTGACTAAGACAGAAGGTAAATACCTGCCTATTCAATCAAATATAGTCTAAATATTTCTGCTGGATTCATCTTGTATTTTCGTTTAAAGATATAGAATTGTGCAGAGGTAAACCCCACTCTTATCTTTTAAAGGCTGTCTCTGTATAATGAAACAAAGCAAAATAATACATTCAAGGGACGGCAAATAAATGTATTGTATTTACATGTGCACTGGAACTAGAAGAGGAACTGACACTGATTATTAAAATATTAACTTACAAGTTGTACATATGGGCTGTAGTTACTCTGTGTAGCCCATTTCATGTATTTTAAAGGGCTGAAACAATTAATCAGATTAATCATGATTAATTCATTAATGAATTAATGTCAAATTTAGTAATAGATTAATCATCAACTGGAGTATAGAGAATCTAAAACATACCTGACAGAGTGACCCACTTAGAGCAGTAATTAAATTAACATTGTAAAAAAATATGGAAACATTTTGCATTTTATATTAACAATGTTTTTGTCTGTCAATATTCTTCATCCAGAACTCCTCAAGAGGAAACATTTTAGTTTCCCCTGGTTTAATTTCATAAAAAAATCTTCTTTAAGGAAGCTTTTGTAATCCGATTATTAATGGAACAAATTATCATCACATTAATTGATTTGCAAAATAATCATTAGTTGCAGCCCTAATTTTATCATAACATTGCAAAGATATTTTGTACATACTACATCTATAGTGGAGATAACAGCATACAAAACACACTTGTAAATAAGCAAACTACACTAAAAATCATGCAGCATCATTGAATCCAATTTCTCATAGTGAACTAAATTAGATTGTCAGCTGAAGCCCCGAAGTTCCAGACACTTCTCTATCTGTGCTGCATCACCACTCATTGTTTCACTAAATTCAGCAATATCAAGTATGAATTTATATTTATATAGTATATAAATAAAAAGTTTCTCCTTAATCATTTAGACATCACCTGAAGCACTGAAGAGCCAGATGCTTCACCTTTAAGCTGCCCTGCATCATTATTACTGGATATCTGTGTTTCCTATGATGTTACTATTATACAACTAAAATATTAAATGTAACACAACCTTTTATATATCCTATGTTACATACTTTCTGACTGTTTAAATAGCTCCTTATATCGCTTTTCTTTTTTCGCAGTATCATCTAAAAAGCACAACACTAAGAATGAGTTCATTCAAACAATTATAAAAGAAAATATAACACTAATCTGTAATGGAATAATATCCAAAATCAACAGCTGGATTCAAGGATTTTTACCAGACAGTAATATTTGTAATAATTTAGTTATGGACTGTGTGGAAATCTATGTAAAAATAAAATCAATGTAAATATAGTACCTCTTATACTTGTCTTTATCCTATTTCTAGGAGTAGAAAGAGTAAATTAAATAGCACTATTATTATGTGGAACTCTAATTATTATTTCTAAATAAAAAAATAGCAGATGTTTAGGTGCCACCTGGCGTTGTCACAAAATATACATCAACAATCCACCTGTCTTCATGACATCACCTTATCAACAGTCCAATAAGAGCAAGTCTAACTTCACTTTAATCGACTCAGTGATTACTCTTTTATAAAATACAAACAGATATTATAGGTTTTCTGAGAGGACGTGTCTAATAAATTAATATTTTTGTCAAATGTTCCACATGTTGATTTTGAACACAGCTCATTGCTATAATGTTGCATGGGACTCTGATTGGTTCTTTATAATGTCTGTGACCTGATACGTGTTACATGAAGGTTGATGCTGTATGACAAGTAGCTGTAATGGCCACCAACCCTCATAAAAAAAACTGTTCAAAGACCTATATGTTAGGACACCATGCTCCCTGCATTACAAACACAGAGACATTATTGAATGGGAACAATTTAAGGAGGAAGAAATATGCAGGTTAAATCTCTTTCTGATCTAAACAAGGAAGTTGTTTTTCCCTTTATCATCAGAGCTGAATTAACAGAACCAACATCCTCATAGAACAGAGAAGCTGCTGAAAAAATACATTTCAAATCTTCTTTCATTCTCTATGTTATTTAACAGAATCTATTGCCAAACATTTTAATCCAGTTGGAAGGAACCGAATATCAGTTGTTCTACGAAGGCCTATAACGAACATTAGATTATGGAATAAACTGCCCAATAAAGATCAAAGAAAATAGCAGACAGCCAAGGAAGCTTTGGAGAAGTTTAGAACAGGTTCAGGTTATTGAACATCCTCCCATCCTCTGACCATCATACCAAGCTTTGTTTAATCCAGCATCTGAAAATAAAGAGAATGGCTTCACTGTTCACCTAACATGATATGACTGTCCACCTACAGAGAGGAACAGCAAGGACAGCATTAATCAGAGAAACAGCAGAGGGGCTCATGGTTACTTTGGAGGAGCTGCAGAGATCCACAAATGAGGTTGAATCTGCTAATGTGACAACTAGTAATTTTGGTGTTTATGGTAGAGTGACAAGAAGAGAAATGAAAGTAAGTTTTAAGTTTGTAATTTGTCAGAAGAGATGTAGAGTAGAAAGTAACTATGTTGAAAAAAGGTTCTGGTCAGAAGAGACAACAATATAACTTATAGGCCTACATGTAAAACACCATTACACATCTCACAACACACCATCCTCTCAGTGAAACATGGTAGAAGCAGCATAATTTCACGGTGATGTAGGAACAGAATCTGCTTAGAGTTAGCAAGAACGAACAATCCTAACTTACCAGAAATTGTAATATATTTAAAAACTGATACTGCAGTTTTTTATATGAATACATACTGTTGTGTAGGAATGCCCTTGTCAAAGTATAAGATTTGAAAGTGAATTTACACTGAAGCTCTCTTCACTCTAAATGAATATTACCTTTTTTTGCAAAGGTCAAAGCTTGTAGCAACATGCAACCCTCAGATGATTTTACTTCTTTTTTTTTTAAAAATAAGTAAATCCCATAACAGATGTAATTTATTAGAAATATGCTTTTGATCAATACAGTAAAACAAAGTACATAGAGTAAATTTAGACTTACAGGTTCCTTTTTTCATTCCTTGATTCACAGTAATGCTTCTCCTTAATGCTTTGGTGGAAGCAGTCTTCAGTGAAATGCTTGGACTACCAAAGATCTCTCAGTATTGTGTCAATATGAACATCTGCATATTCAAACAGGTGAGTGACAAGTTGCATTTTAAATATGTTAATGGCCAATCCTGCAAAGAGGAAGAAGTTATGAAAGAACACACTCTGTGCGTTGATCAAAAAGCAGAAATAGACACTAGTTTTAAAATTACCATTGAAGAAAAGTCAGTGGTTGTTTTGTCTTTAGTTGAGTAATTCATTTGAGTTATCAGGAATCCAGATGAGGAAGATCAGAGTTCCATGTCATGTATCCAGGCCTGTGTCCGAAAATTTGCCTAACCCTTAACCCCTCAAACATTATATAGCAGGGGTCACTAATAGGCGGTCTCCGGTCCAGGTCCAGACCGAAAAGATGTCTTGTGCGGACCCTAAACGATTACCAAAATAGAAACTACAACCTAAAATCATATTGAGCACTTTCTGGTTTACAGGCGCAGCTTTTAGAGTTCTTACGTTAGTGGTCAAGCGTCCAAGGAACCTACAGACCAATTGAGTGCGAGTTCGGTTATACCACGTGATACACCAAGCCCAGTGGCTTCCCGACATGGAAGAACAGAGAAAACAATACTGAGACAAAGGAGAGAGAAACGGGCGGAGAAAAGGGAAAAATGCACGCAGACATGACAGATAAAAATAGCCTCATGAGGCGTTGAACCGTTTGGCTAAATTTCTTCAGCGATCCCCACATTCATGAGGCTCCTTGTGAACATGTCACTAACTGCTGGTGTAGAACCTAACTACAGTGAGTAATAAAATCTTTGATTTTTTGCAATTGTTCTTTTTTTTCCCCTTTAAGTTCCTTTGAAATAATTAATGGTTGGTCTGTGTAATAAAATCTTTTGTAAGTTTTTTTTATGTGTAAGAAAGGAAAACACCAGGCAGGTTTTAGATACTGTTGTGAAGTTTAAAAAGCCAAAGAAGCACTCTGCATTTGATAATATTGAAATGGAAAGAGTATCAGACCACTGCATTTCTACAAAGACCCGGACATCCCTCTCAACCTTCAGCTCAGGCAAAGAGAAGACTGATAAAATATGCAGCCAAGAGGCCCATGATCATTTGGATGAACTGCAGAGATCGACAGCTGAGGTGGAGGACTCTGTCCATCCACACCACAAAGAAAGCATCGGCTCATACAGTCAGCCTTCAGGGTGTGTAAATAATAATTTGAGACTCGTTGCGCAGCCAAATAGAAGAGGAAAAAATCTCTGATCAAGTCATAGCCAGAGATCCCTGCAACTGTGAAGGATGAAGATAAATGTAAAAAACTGTAATAGTACAGAGAAGTAAGAGAAAAGAAACAAACTGATAAAAAATCATTAGCTGGATCTTCCGTAACGATGCAGTATAACAGGCCTTGTGACGGTAAATCACTGCTGCAGATGAAGTGAAGGTCCTTCCTCTTCTTTTTCTCCTCTACCTGCATCTTCTTCACATAGTGATGATTTCTGCAACACAGTTATAGATCACGACTGCCTAACGGATGAGCATATCACCATGAGACAAGTAATGAATGCACTTATTTGCTGCTTAATTGGATCACTTTGCACTTATCACATAAACATATTTGCATCATTTCCTCCTTTAATTGGACCTTAAGCTGAAACATGATGTTAGAGTGATAATTATAAAATTATTGTGTGGACATATGAAACATTGAAAGAAAGAAGATGCTACATTTGTATCCTGTGATTCAACCAGAAGGGTCATAAACTTTTATGACCTCCAGTAGGTCATGAGGCAGAATCACACGGTTGTGTGACTTCCATCCAGCCAGTTGGTCAACCCTAACCCTATCTTATTACCTGCATCCTCCCAGATAATCATTACTGGGTCTTCTGTTTTAGGCCCGCCTTATGATGTTGTAAACTGTTAATAAAAGGCTTTGCCATGAAGGGATCTGTGTGAGACGGTGCTGGTTTCAGAGCCAACACCTTCTCTCTGCTTCTGCAGATGCTGACGTCATTACAAAACCCTGTCTCTGTGTTGATTATTTCCTCTTAATCTTTTAAACTCACATTTCTCTGGATTAAAACCCAACACATGAGATAGTTGAGAAAAACATCAGTTGGACCGTAGTGGGTGTTATTTTACTGCACAGTCCCTTACACATCTGTACATCTGGTCATTATTCCTTTCTCACTGTAAATATTGTATTTAAAAGCCTCACTGATGAGGAATGCTTGCAAACCCAGGATCAGAATACCTATATAGTTTATAACGAGATTCTTTAAAAAGTCTACCGCTAAAACAAAGCCTCATCAAACAATCCTTGACTATCTTTTTAGTTTTTTACTCTATTAGAAAAAGGTGTGCTGTAGAGGGATTGTGTTTTAGAACTTTGTTCGCACCATATGCATATGCTGTGGCCACAAGTAAGACAATCATTAGAACAAGTTTGCTCATTAATTATTTTTTCAAGGGAAGAAACTATTATTTCTTGGGCACAAATATTTTGTTCCCAAAAGAAGTGCTTGTTGGCCACACAGTAATACCTTAAAGGTCTGTTTGTCACGGTTGTGTTGGAGGTTTGTGTCAGGACCCAAATGCAGGGGCAGTGAGGCTGAGGAGAGTTCTTGCAGATTTATTGGGATAACACAGGTAGCAAAAACAGGAATCCAAAAATCCATCCAAAAAATGTTAAACAAAACAGGCATCCAAAAATCCAACATAAAAATTAAACACAAACCAGAACCATGGAGACATCAGGGAAAACAATCACAAGGAGCCAGGGTAAGACGAAGTAAGCGGGACTGCACAGGGAGTGCATTTATGGCTGAATGAACAAAGGCAGGACTAACGAGCTGATAAGGAGCAGGTGTGAGAAGCTGATGAGGAAGCCAAGGCAAAAAGGAAACACAAGAGGGCAACAGAGGACAAGCAAAGAAAAACCTAAGAAACTTAAGTTTCTTAGGTTTTTCTTACCATATTAGACCAATAAAGCTGAAAAAAAAACTGAAAACCATGGATAAACGTCAAACTAAAAACTTAGAGACAACCAACAGAACAAAGATCGTTACAGAGGGCCTCACTTCAGGGCAGGTTCCAGATTCAATTCAATTCAATTCAGTTTATTTATATAGCGTCAAATTCACAACACATGTCATCTCAAGGCACTTCGCAGTTCAACCAGATCATACAGTCAAATTGATACAAAGTTTTCTATCTAAGGAAAACCAGTTGATTGCATCGACTCATTGACTCAAATACAATCCCTCACACTAAGCATGCTTGTAGCAACAGTGGAGAGGAAAAACTCCCTTTTAACAGGAAGAAACCTCCAGCAGAACCAGGCTCAGTGTGAGCGGCCATCTGCCGAGGCCGACTGGGGTTCAAGGAGACGGAAGCAGAGACACAAAGAGCAGTTGTAAAAGGCGGCCCCGTCCAGGAAACACACAGCCAGGCAGACGAGCTCCAAGGCAGCTCCCATGCCAGAGGACGAAGAGAGCACATCCACTCAGTCACAGTGTTGATGGAAGCAGCACAGCCGACGCTTCCCTCCAGGATGACGCCACAGCCAAACAGGAACAGACGAGGCAAAGCTACTCTGAGGAAAAGCAGAGAGAGCAGAACGTTAGAGATTGAACTAACAGATTCTGCAGAATAGGAGATAGAGAGAGAATGAAGCAGAATGATGAAATGCCCTCAAATGTCCAAAAACAAAATACAACCCACCCAGGGTGGGCGGAGGGAGAACCAGGAAAGAGGGCAATAAACAAAAAACAAAAAAAAACAAACAAAAACAGAGTCCAAAATAAAAAACAACCAACCAAAGGTAGGCGACCGAAAGTCTCTGGAGGTCTAGAGTCTCTAGAGGGCGGCCGCAGGGCCGGAGGCGAGGCAGAGTCTCTGGAGGGGGGCCTGGAGGTGGGGCAGAGTCTCTGGACGGCGGCCGTGTGAACAGCAGCAGCAGCCTTGGGAGACACCGTCTCTGCTGCAGGAGGCTTGGAGGACGTCGTCTCTGCTGCAGGAGCCTTAAAGGACGCCAACTGCGGCTAAGGAACCTCAAAGGTGGCTGCCGACTGCAGCTCAGGAACCTTGGAGGGGGCCGCCGACTGCTGGTCAGGAACCTCGGAGGATGCTTGGAGTGCCCTCTGAGGGGCCTTGGAGGCTTGGAGCGCCTTGGTAAACAGGTCAAGAGGGAAAGAATAACTGAAGGAGTTAATTTTCCCAAACTTTACTGTATATCAGTGTGTGAATGTGTGTGTGAATGGGTGAATGAATGTAGTGTAAAGCGCTTTGGTCAAGTCTCCTAACTTGAATAAAGGCGCTATATAAGTACATACCATTTACCATATATAAATAAAATGTAAATGGGACTATCTAAAATTTAACAGGAATCCAAACGTGCAGGGTTTGATAAGAAACAAACAAAATAATTGGAAAGTTGTTAATCCACCCTCACAAGTCCTTAAATAATTCAACCTGAGCAGACTAACAAAATAAATAATCAAAGAAAAAAATCAAACTCTAAAGGACAGTAGGAAGCAGTAAAAACCCTGTCAAAACAAAATTACAAAATTACTCAATGCTCATGAAAACACTTTAATCAAATCAGTCCAACCACCTTATAAAACTGCTAACCTGCGTCACTTAAAACAGTAAATGTAAAAGCCTATCTGCAGACTCAAACAACCACATGACCAGGTAGTGCTACCACTGGAACACCAATAATGCGACTCTGTATAAAAAACACCAAATCAGCATGAACTTAATGAAGAGAATAAACCCAAAAATAATCTTCCTCCCAACATACCCCAGCCAGCCAGCAGCATGGACCCACCACACCCCTGGTCCCAGACACAGGCAATAATAAAAACGGAATCTTTTGAAGCACAGGGAAAATTTTATTGAATAAATGCAATTTAAACAGGAATTTGCTGCAAATGATTTTAAACTGAGACCACCTTCGTATTTTAGACAATTGGACGAATCTGGAGAGGCTAAAAAAATGCAATCATGGAGAGAACATGCATGAAAACATGGAGATTCTAACCCATGTTCTATTTGCTAAAAAATAATAGAGCAAGCAACTGCTTCACCAAGAAGCCTTAGTTCCAGATCCAGATGTCAAAGCTGCCATTTTGGATGCATTGACATGAAATAGAGAAAAGTGAGAAAATCTCTTGGAATAAAGATTAGATATAAAAAAAAAATAAATAAAAAAAATAGAACAAGTTTTAAAGTTGTGGTCATTCTGAAGCTATGAGAAATGAAACATAACTGAATTTATTTTATTAATAATGCTTGTAAAAATTCTCTTTTTGTAATAACTCATGACAACCCTTACAAACATTTGCACCCTGTTATTAAAAAGTGTATTAAAAAATCTTATGTTCACTGAAAAAATGTAAAATAAAGAAAAATGTATTTACAGCATAATAGCTAATATTATTCATTACATGTTATAGTATTTGTTAAACAGAAACAGCAGGTATATTTTTCAGCTTTTAGAAAATAAATAGCAATTAACTTCCAATTTTACTTATTTTTTCCCTCATATTTGATATTGTTTACTCCTCAATGAGAACGATCAATCAGAGCCTCCTCCCCACATAGATAAACACATCAAAAACAATTTAGTTCAATATTTTGTATGCAAAAACTCTTGTTGCAAAATGTTGATGGAGGCTGTGGGGGTGTTACCTAGCCAGCATCAACTGTTTCTGATCTTTCAATTCAAATGTATGAGTATGTGGTGTTGCCCTTCATATGGGGCCCACCAAGATAATGTTCCGTACAGGCCTATTGTTGTGTTGTTACGTCATTGATGCCCTTCCAAATATATCTGATTGATGTTTGTTTTTGAATGTAAAAAGGAAATCCGAATCAATAACTGAAAACAGTGAAATAAAGTATTTGATGGTTAATGATAAAAAAGCTGCTGGATAGAAGGAAAACTCTCAGATGACTGGACTTCATCCTGGTGCCGCTGATACTACTGTCATGGTAGGTTCTGAGGAGCCAAAGGATTTGAACCCAGATCAAAGATGTTTAGGTCTAGACAGGACCTGATTGAACAACAGAACCAAACAAAGGTTTTTAAAGGAAAAATGTAGAAACAGTTCCTGAATCAGTGTCAAACAGCAAAATCATCTCTTCTACAAGCTATTGATCCTGATTACTTCCAGATTTAGTGAACTCACCCCTCTAGAAAAAATGTTCCAGGTTAGTCTGACCCTGCAGTCACATTAGTACCATCCTGTTGTTCTTGACCTGAAATTATAATGTTGTCATTGAGTTCATTGTTTATCACAGTTACTGTATAATTCCATGCTTCCAGCAGCTATTTGATTATTAATATTTATACTGAACCATTTCCAGAGTTTCCAGACCCTCTGATTGTTTCATAGAGACCCAAGATCTCCTACAGGAAAGTGGAAATCACACAGTTAAACTAATCTGCCTTAATGTCAGTGATACTGATGTAAACAGAACATTAGAACCACCTCTTTACATCTATTTCACACATGTTACCTCAATCCTGCTATTATTGTTTGAATTATTAGATGCCTCAGTCAGAACAAGAGACAAAGAAAACCTCTAAAGCAATACAATCTCAGTCTTGCTGATTTAGGGAAGTTGTTGAGTTATATTCAAATCTAATTACATATATCGGTAATTAGATTAATGGTTATTACTGCTTACTAACATTTATTCTGGATGATTTAACAATGAGACAGAACTAATATGATCAGATCTAAACAAATAGCAGCTTCAAGAATATTTAATTATAGAGTTTGAATGGGTTAAAAGTTGAAAATGACCTATCTGTGTTTGTTTGTGGCTAAATTAAGCTAAATTAGACTAGGCTGAAATAAATTCACAGCAACATTTTGCATTCCTATTGATATTTAGTTTTGTATAAATGTAGTCTTCAATAAGATAAATTAAATCATTTGATCATAGAAATTTGAATGAATGTATTAAAACTTTATTTTTTGTTTTAATTTCACAAGTAAACACAAAGGTTATTAGTGGTGTGAAAGAATCAGATTGTTTGTATAAAAGTATCATAGGAATATAATCAGAGAAAAGTGACAGACTGACCATGGAGGAGAGAGGAGTACACTTGCTGCTGATGGTCATCCTGGATGACAGTCTGTGCTGTTCTGATACCTTTTACAGAGAAAAATATATATATTTTCAGTATATTCAATTTTCTTCTGATTAAATAAAAGAAAACCTTCAATAAATTAGCATTTGTGTTGAAATTGTCTGTTTCACCAAAAACAAATAAGAATCAGCATCAATGTTTGTCAGAAGGAGCCAAGATATATTATTTAACAAATAGTCTTTCTTTATATTAGTGCAAAAATAAATTGTGCAGAAGACAATTTATTGGACTTGAAGACAGCAGAGGGAGAGGTTAAGCGCAAAGGTAGGAAAATAATTTCTAGTCGGCTTTTTCTGTAAGTCATAGCCAGAGATGGGAAGTAACGAAGTACAAATACTTCGTTACTGTACTCAAGTAGATTTTTCTGATATTTTTACTTTACTTTACTACTTATTTTTATGGCGACTTTTTACTTCTACTCTTTACATTTTTACACAAATATCAGTACTTTCTACTCCTTACATTTTAAAAAATTGGCTCATTACTTTAGTTTTGAATCATTTCAATGGAGTTACCGTTATTATTTTTCACGTCATCAATAACAAATTAAATCCAATTGGATGGGAATCTACGTTGCATTTGACGCACCACTACAAGATGAATCAACAGATTCGGCGGTATTCATTGGCAGCAAATCATTGCAGCTTGGTGGCGGTGGCGTTAGCATAGTAGTATGGACGACGAGATGATTGAAAATGAACACAATAGAGATCTTGTCCTATTGGCAGACATCCATTTAAAATGTAGGCAACAGCATGAAAAAAGTGGTTTCTATTTTTACTTTTATACTTTAAGTAAATTTACAAGCCTGTACTTTGTTACTTTTACTTGAGTAAAGAAGTTTAATCAGTACTTCCACTTTTACCAGAGTATTTTTTAACACAAGTATCTGTACTTTTACTCAAGTACGGAAAGTCAGTACTTTTGCCATCTCTGGTAATAGCTGTCTGTAGGTGTACTAGGGCATGCAGGATGGAGTAACTGAAAGAAAGCAGCTTCTGCTGTAAAACACCCAAAAAGGAGAAGGATACAATAGATGTCTTAGGGATGAAAAAACATTCAAAGTGGTTGGACGATTGAAAGAAAAGTTATGATCGTCTATCGCGTCTAAAAATAAAAAATAGTAAATTAACAGATTACTGATGTCTCAAAATGTGTACTGATCAGCATTTACAACATATTAAGACAAGAAAATCTAAACATATTTTTCTTATTTATTTTTTTGCTGTTCAGACATTAATAATTTCATTAACTAGATATTGAATTAGAAATTATATAAATTATAGAATTTGGATGCAATAAATTGGATTTAAATGTCAATAACTGATATCCAACATTTAAAATTAAAACTTTAATCTTAATTATATGTGGTTTGACTGCTGTATTATCTCCTTAGCAAAAAATTCAGTAAAAGGAAAAGAAGAGAAAGAATCTCCATAGAGGTGTGAAGGCAACAGGTTGGTCTGATTTTTGATGGAAGTGAAGGAACAGCCACATAATACCAAGTGATTTATTTTTAAATATCTTTTATATTGAAAACTTGCATTAGAAATAAATATAATTTATCTAAAGCTGTTAACTGAAGGAGGCAGACATGAGGTGGGTGATGGTATCTGCTATAGAGGAGAGCAGTGAGGACATCAGGAAGCAAGAATGAAACTAGTGAGGCCACAGAAAGATTTAGTTCCTCCTCAGTGTTCTGAGGAAGAAAAGACACTGCTGGGCCTTTTTAATAACCTGGGGGGTGTTCACAGTCCAGCTCAGGGCCTCTGAGATGTTCAATGAGATCTATAGGTGGCAATAATGGCCCTAAATGTTGTTTTCCAGTTTGAAGAAGATACTCAGCTTGATTACTGCAGCACTTCAAGTCTAGAATCAACTGAATGTAAAACATGTTGCTGCAAACATGGAGACCAAAGCTAACTGTAGCTACAACAGACCTGCTTCAGGTTCAGAGCCACAGTTAGTAACTCTACATCTAAGCTCACTGCTTTCTTTCACCTAAATAATTATTTGTAGAGTTAGTTACAAAACTGAACTCTAATTGAATTGAAAGAATAATACTTTAAATAAATGTAATCAAAGTGTTATTAACTGTAATAAGCTACAGTAGTAGCCATTCAAAATTTCCCCACTTTCCTTGATGGGCCCTTGACTGGTCCTTGGTTAGGAACCCTACAATTCCTTTCTAAAGATCTCAAATATTGTTTCTTTCATTATTTGTGGACATTTAGATTTAAAGAGAAGCATTACTCCTGGTCAGACCTAGTACTTCAGTGAAAGGGAGGAGTCAGAGTAAAAAAGATATGCACGTCCAGGATAAGGCTATTGGCTGGACGTTGTAGGGGATTTTGCTACCTTTGGCTGCTTTTGACTGGAAAGGGCCATTTTGAAAGGCGGCTACTGTAAATATAAATGTTCTAAAGATTCAGATTATCATTATTCAGTCACTTCCATCTCCTAAGTTTAGGTGTTGCTGTTTCAGTTTAGTCCACATGGGGGAGTGCTCTGTTTGGAGAATGCAAGAGTAAAATATTAGATATTAGAATATTAGAGTCTGACCTTTGGAGCGTCTGAACCGACACACCAGCAGAGGCAGAATTATCAGAACGATTCCAATCACTGGTCTAATGACCCACATCACATGAAATGAAGAACTTCCAGCTGCTGAAAATAAGGAGAAAATAACTCCAAACAATATCAATATTATTATGAATCCAATCATTGATTCTTTCAGCTCTGCTCACCTTTTACTGCCATCCAGCTCTGTGGTGAAGCTTTTCCTGAATGTTCACACTTGTAGAAGCCTTCGTCTGACTGAGACACTGCAGAGATCTTCAGCTCCCCTCTGCTGTCATTTTGTACCAGTTTGTCATTGTGATAGAAAAACACATTGGAAAGTGTATTTTGTCCTCTGAGTCTGCAGCTCAGAGTAACAGAAGCTCCCTCAGTCACAGGATGGACGGGGCTCACCAGGAGAACATCTCCATCTGGAAAACAGTCAGAATATGAAGTTTCAGTCAGAAATCAGCTGCTGCAGACCTTTAGAAGAGGTTAGTGAGAACAAACTGAACACAGGATTATTTTCATTCATGTTTGGCATTTTATCTGAGACTCCACAGGGAACATTTTAAAACATTAAAAGATCATTTTAAAAAGCCCAATGAACAATAAAGTACCCGTATGAGATGTTTACCAGGGAGTATAGATCGCACAGCTACTTAGAACCTATGAAGCAACAACCTGATATTAAAGGAAACTCTCAGACCCACCTGAATTCAAAAGTACAGATGAGTTAAAAATGTGAGAAAAATGACACAGATAAATATTTTCGGGTTTTCTTAATCTGATTACCATATAAAAAAATTCAAATAAGAAAATACAGATATATTTATTCAGAATTCCACAATACTTTCTTAATAACATATTTCATTATCCCATTATTTGGATGTAATTTGATATGTGATCTTTGAACCTGAAAACAAAATCTAAACTCTAAAATTAGCCTAATCTTTATTAAGGTCTTTACTTTTCAAAAGACCAATTCTCTTTACTATATATATGCTCCCAATCGGTAGAATTTTTTAGACAGCATGGGATAATTTCCTCTGTTATGCTGATGATACCCAGCTTTGTCTGTCTATAAATCCAGATGAAGCTCACCCATTTCATAGATTACAGGCATGTCTTGAAGACATAAAAACCTGGATGACTCTTAACTTTCTGCTTCTGAATGCAGACAAAAAAGAAGTTATAGTCTTTGGACCAGAGTCTTTGAAAAAGAAGCTGATTAGCCAGTCACTTCATTTGGATGGGATTAAACTGATTTCAGATAATAAAGTAAAAAATCTTGGTGTTGTTTTTGATCAGGACCTGTGTATTAAATCAAAATTAAAGAGGTTTCTTGAATTTCCTTCTTTCATCCATGGAATATTGCAAAAATTAGAAATCTCCATGTATTTGTTACTTCGAGGCTGGACTATTGTAATTCTTTAATATCAGGAAGTCCACAAACTGTAGTTAAAAGCCTTCAGCTGATCCAAAATGCTGCAGCCAGAGTTCTGATGAAAATTAAAAAGAGAGATCATATCTCTCCTATCCTGGCTTCTCTTCATTGGCTTCCTGTTAAATCCAGAGTAGAATTTAAAATCCTTCTCCTCACATATAAAGCCTTAAATGGCCAAGCTCCATCTTATATCAGAGATCTGATTGTTCCTTATATAATCTGCAGGTTTACTAGT